TGACAGATACTACAGTGTGGCTCTGGATAAAACAGCAAATAAATTTTAAAAATTGCACCGATATGGACAGTAAAACTGTATTTCTTAGTGCTCCCATTCAAGTGAGGGAGAGTGTACAGTGAACAGATGCAGAAGTGAATATATGATATGTCAGATAGTAAATGCTATCAAAAATTAAACAAGAAAGAATATAGAAAACCTGACATAGAAGGGCCTAGAAAGGGTTGGAATTTTGAAGAGGGCTGTCAGACATTGTCTTACAAAGTGACAATTGAGTGAATTCCTGAAAGACTGAAAAGTACGCCACGTGGATATCTGGGGGAGAGAATTCCAGGCAGAGAGGAAAGATCCTGAGGTGTGGGAATCCTGGCAAATTCCAGGCATAGCAAAGTGGCCAGTTTAGGTAGAGCAGAGTGAACCAAGAAGAACAGGAATCCAGATCAGGTTAGATCTTTCAGATGGTTCTAAATGCTTAGAAGATTTCATTAGAATATTTGATTTTAGCAGAGTGGCATAACGTGACTTGCATTTTGCAAAGTGTATCTGTGGAAATTAGATTAGAAGACAAAATAAACTCAAGTGTTCACACATCACAGATCATCAAGTAGGAGACTATTGTCATAATCTTCTGTTCCATTGCATGGATAGACCAGTTTGTTTGTTTTTCAGTGCTGAGAATCAAACCCAGGGCTTCATGTGTGCTAACCAAGTGCTCTGGCACTGAGCTAAATTCCCTACTAAAACTAGTTTGTTGATTTGTTTACTTCTTTTTGGGCACTTGAGTTGTTTTCTAATTAACAGTTTCATGAGTAAAACAGCTACTTAAGTTGGCTAAGTCTATTGTAGGTATTTGCTTTTGTTCAAAAGAGGTTTTTTGTTTATTGGGAGTTACACTTAAGGTAGTGATGAAATTTTGAATTTGTCATAATATCTTGGTCGTGGGATAGTGTATTTCCTTGACACATAAATATCTTTCCTCTGTAACCATTTATTCATGGAATTATCATGATGATATTGCCTTGGCCTTTGAGTAGCACAGGGTCCAGTGAAAGACATGAAAATAAAAATAACTGAATGAAGGTGTGCTCCTTAACACAGAGATTCTTTGTTTAGAGAGATAAAAAAGCCACAACTATAAGTAGGCCTAAGGATCTGTTTCTAAGTCATGATACCGTGAGTTATATCACATTAATGAGTGGGTATACTTATGTTAAGTACAAGTGGCATGTGCTTAGGATACATTCCTGACCCCAGATGACATCATTATCCTCATCATCAACTGTGTCCACTACAATGTTGTGTATGTGTGATCCACAACGCCACCCCCTGTGCCTTTGGTGCCAACAAGTATTTTGTGATTGGAGACATTTAATGTGTATCTTTTCTGGTTCTGCTTGTTTAACATTTTTTTTTAAAAGAAGAGGATAAAAAATAATAAAAAAATAGAAATGATACAGAATTCGCTAATCAAGATGATAGGAAATCAACAATGATTGTTATATTGTATATTGTTGTCTTCACATTAGTTGTTCATATTACCAGATCTAAGCATTGAAAATTGGTCAAAGAATTTAAAAAGAAAAAATTTAAACATTAACTTTTTCTTTCAATAAATCATTAGAAATCGGCAGTAGTTATCCCAGCCGTCTTTGTGCATGCATGTATATATTTCCCTTTCCTTCTTTTTTTTCTCTTTTCCCTCATCCTACTTGTTCCTTTTCTTTGAGCAGTTTCTTTTCCTTTCACAATATCTATTGTACCTTTCAGATTTTCTTTACTATTTCAGGTTCTTACACTAGGGAGACAATACGGTGTTCACACATGCGGGTCTGATTTATTTCACTTATGAGTACGGTCTCTAGTTACATCCATTTTTGCATGATTCATGAACACTTTCAAAGCTTTATACGTCACCATTTGTCTGTTTGTAAAATGTAAATAACATCTGCGTGAGCTTGCTGAAGTGTTACAGGAAATACTGTGCTTCCTGATCTCAAGGAACCAACAGCAAAGTATTAGCATTAGAATGTGGGGTTTCCTAACTTCTAATGCTGTCATACAGAGAGAGAAAGAAGCAGGGCAAGGAGGACGAAAGCTTTCCTTGACACCAGGGAACTGGTCCGGCGTATCCCAGCAGCCCTGTTTATGTCCCTTATTAGATATAAACAGCTTCAAAGAACATTGACATCAAGCAAAGTCACTGTACGGCCATGCTACAATGAGATAAAACAAGATCACGCTGTAATTTTATCAATGAACAGAGAAAAATATAATCATTGAGCAACTCTTAAAATACTATGTTTCCTAGTCTCTCCTGGCTGGTACATTTTCTTCCTATTTTGTCATCTATGACAGTTTTGTCCTCACTCTAGTCTCTCTTCCCCATAGACAAAGTTTCTTGAGACACCTAATTACAGAAGTGTTCCTGCTGTCTAGCAGCAGCCTTTCTAAACCTATCCCTCCCAAGATCTCTAAACAAACTCCAGACCCTGTGAGTCATTTCTAACCTTTCTCCTTGGACTGTCCCTCAGATCCCCTCAGTGTACACTCTTGTCTCATTACAGTGAGAAATTGACCCAATTCGTTCCACCACAGGTGTGCCTTGGCCGTCTTTGGAAAGCATTGACAACGCACTTGCTCCGACTCTTCATTAAGAAAAAGGAAGTCAGGCTTAAGATGTTACATCCCTCCCTTTAAAAGCTACTCATGGAGCTGATTAAACTTTCCTGAGTCAAGGAACTGGTTCCCCACTGGCATAAGGAAATTCTCAAAGAAGGGGTGGGGTAGAGGTGACAGTACTAGAACTATGAATACTAAACAGTTTCTCTGTGAGTTCCTCCCTCATAATTCCTGCCTTCCCCTGCCAATTAGAGACAGTCTTTCCCAGGCCCTGTGTCAGCCAGCCCTGAGCAGGACAAGGATTAACACCAGTGTATGGAGTCTGGAATTCATCTTCCTGCTGTAGGCTGGGTGTCTGGTGAGCCCTGAGCACCAGGCTGCAGCCTTGTTCTCTAACCAGACTTCAGCCTCAATTTCCTGCTTAGTATTCCAGCCCACTGCTGGGTCTGGAGCTTTGCCTAGAACCATCATAGCCCATTTGGCAGGGATCCAGCACTTTCCTGTGCCCCAGCCATTGTCCCTCCCCTGGAGGTTGTAGCTTGTTCCCTGTACTCCCAATTGCTGGCAGGGGTACCATCCCAAATGTGCTTACACTCCAGAGCCATGACGTGGCTGACCTTTTCCAACACTGCAGATTGCACCATTGGATCTGGAATGAGCCCTTCGGCTGAGAAAGTTCTCTAGCCTGTGCCCATCTGGACCTAGCTTTCTTCAACACTTCCCCTTGGCCAGTGCCAGCATCCCTGACAGACGGAGCCCACCCAAGTTGCAATAGCCCTAACTCATGGACAAGCTTATTCATGTGCAGCTGGTCACCTTCCTTGGCCTTCACCCAACAGAGAAAGTTGCCACAAGAATTAGACTGCTGAGTCTTCAGGGCTCCCAGACATAACCTCAGATTCAGGAAAGCAACAGGAAACTGGAGGGAGTTTCCTGCTGCATAGTAAGGGTGATCTAGCAGGTGCTAGAGCCATCCTTCTACGTGCCTAAGTCTTTTCCTGAAAGCAAATAAATGTAAATTCTACAATCCTATGACTTAAAAGTACATAAGAATTCAATCAAAACCTAACCATTGAGTACTTACTAGCTGTCTAATTACCTCACAATAAGTACTCAAACAAAAAATTTTTTTACTAATGACTAAGTTTGACAAGTGGGAAGCTGAGGCGCAGTTCCTATTGCTCAAGGTTGCTCAACTAGATATGTCAGAGTTGGAGCCAAAGCTGAACTCCAGTCCTGTCCTCTTCCTACCAAAGCTAGGTCTTATTAAGTATGTATTGATTGATTCTTAACAGCACAAACTTCAAGATCAGTTTTTTACTGGACCCTTCTGCTCTCTAAAATTATTGAGGTCTTACTAGTTTTTGCAAGCTAAAACTGGCTGCTCAAGCACTTGGTCAAGAGATATGCAGTAATCGTACCTGGACTCTGTGACAAAATTGGGATAGGTACCGCCATTGCTGAGAACCCATGACCACTGGCATCATGCAAAGGAATCTTTAGGTGTGAAACAACCTTGTACAGCCTACAGCACGGAGTAGAAAGGGATGTGACAGGAAACGGGGCCAGAGTGGGAAAAGGCAGCAAGGGGCAGGAATAGAAGATGCGAAGTCATAGAGACACCTTTGCAGTTTTCCTGGAACTAACCTTGCCCTCCTCCCTCACCATTTCCAAAAGGGAGGCTTAAAGGAAAGAGCACTGGTTCTTCCAGTGCCTATTTCTGAAATCTCGAAGGTTGCTGGAAAGAACACGACTCCACAAACATGCCAACACCAGCTGTGTTGGGCCCCACGTAGTCTACACTTCCATGAAAAGGAAACCCTTTAATCAGACAATCTGATTGCCTTTGCTACTCAAAATGTGATCCACCGAAGACCTGGGGCATCTGTGTCACCTGAGGGCTGGTGAGAAACCCAGACTGTCAAGCTAACCAGACCTACAGATGGGGAACCTGCTGTTTACCAAGCTCCCTGGGTGATCGGCAAGCATGGTGCAGCTCTCAGCACTGAGGGACCACTTTCGGGAAATATCAGACTTGATGGGCACAAGCAAGAGGTCATTTGGGCTCCTGCAGAGCTTCAAAGAAGGTGATACTGGCAACCACTGCAGAGGACAGGAAAAGACACCAAAGACAAATTTGCTTTCTCAGGATAGTTCGTAAGGCCCCAGGAGCCTGAAAGCCCCTTCCTCCACCAAAATTACTAGTATATGGTGAGTCACCGAGGCCACAGGTTTGTCTGACAGAATTAATGTGCAGATTATGTCGGCAGCACTTAACCATTGTGATAAGTTGCTCAGCTGTCGTACTGGGCAAGAGAGATGACACAGCTTTCAGGGGCACCCAAGTCACAGCCAAAGTGCATTCGGGCATAAGGAGGAGCCGGTGTTTCAAGTGCCGGTGAGTATATGTCAGAATCTCTCACCGGTCTACCAGTCCACACCCCATAAAAGGCAGAATTGTGCAATTAAGTAAGAGGATCAGAAGATGTGAGTACTCTGAAGAGTTAAATCAACTCCTTGATTTTGCTTAATCCACTGACACCAAATTAGCTAGGCAGTGTCTTCTCGAATCTAATTACCTGTGTTTCACGTTCAGCTAACAGCAACATTCCAACCTTTACACTGTGTCTCTCTTTGTTAACCTGTCACTTGTAAGCCTGGAGAAAGCCTCTGAAAACTTTGCATATTTTCCTTGGGACAGGTCTGAATTCCAAAGGTTCACTAACACCTTCGGCCCTGGGGGGGCAGTGATGGGCAGCAGAACAGAAGTGGGCTGCTGGCAACTGGCTTCCTGCAGGCGGATGTAACCAGCCACAATGAGAGATCAGCTGTTCAGACTGGCAGGTAAGGCAAGGGCTCTAATTAAGAGGGGAGCTGCTCAGAAAGAGCCAAGGACCCCAGAAGAGGCAGTGCCAGGCAGCAAGTAGAAATGAGGCTGGGGGAGAAAGGAGTTCTGGTTTGGTTGCAGCCTAGGAGAAGCAGGTCCAGTCTCCATGCCTCCTAGAGCTTCCCCCAACAGCTAGAATGCACTTCATTTTCAAAATGAGCTCCGCAGGGAGTCACTCACCCCTTCCTCCACCTTGCAAAGACAGCCCCTTGTCTCTCCTGAAGAACGCAGTGAAGGTTCAGCTAACCTGACACTTGGTCCACAATAAGAACCGGGGGTGTGGCATTGTGTTCTGACAAGGAAATCCCCCCTCACACAATCACTAACTTGAAAGCATGATGTCCATTAATCGGTCCATCACCCCCAACCCTGTCTCCTATAGGGCCACATCCTTAGGACTTGGCAGGAAATGTGAATCCAATGTTATAATATGTTCCTTGATAAAGATGACATCAGATCAGGGGTTTAAGCTTGAATTCTAGTTTCCCAAATAATGTTTATAAATAAACCCCCTCCTATGAACTCCCTTTAACAGAAATATGGCTTTGTTGACATTACCAAATTTTCCAAATGTTAAATATTCAGTCCTGCTGGGTCCATGCATAGATAATCGTGAAGTCTGTGGAAGAATCTGGTCTCTGTGAGCATACTCTCCCTTCAAGAAATATCCACACCTCATGAGGAGTGTATACATGATTTTTTTATGCACAAACCCAAGAAAAAAATGAAATATATAGATATGTTTTTGTAGGGGTTCTTATTAAGACTGACGACGTCCTACTTACAGAAAAACTCCTATTTAGCTGTTATTCTTGCATCTTTCTTTAAACTGAACATTTCTGGCCTTTCTAAGGTTTTCCAAAGTTTTGTAATAAGAACATCAGCAGTCTCTCAATGGAAATTTCTAATGTTCTAAATAGTGCAGCTACTATGTGTTTTAATAGACTCATATACCCTAAGAGCCATACTTACTACAATTTCATGATTGTTTGCTCCGTGCCCAGAGCAATATGCTCTATTACTAGTCCCTAACCATCACACTGTTCGGTAGCCAAGAGCATCGCTATATCAGAGAAAAAGAAAAAATGCAGTGAGCAGACCTATTCCTTTCATGCCACCCACTGCCTCCTTGGTTTATTCCGTAAGCAATTAAGGAACTCAGTGACTCATGTGGACTACAAAAGCACTGTGTCCCTACCATGGACTAGCCTCCTTTCTAGATGTTCACGAGTTGTTCATTTATTCACTCTTCACAGAAGCCTTCTCAGCTAACCTTCGTTTTCTCCATGAAAACCCTGTGAGGAATTGAACCTCACAAGTCACAAAATGAAGAATCTAACACAGATCTTCCTGTCCACATTTCAACTTTTTTCCATTCCAATTTCATTATATCCCAGCCAAGTAAGGTGCAAGCATACTAGCTTTGTAATGTGGCACAGGCAGGTTGCTTACTGATATGTCTTTACTCTCAAATTCATGCATGGACTTTCCCCAGAACGCAGCTAAGAGGACTGTGGAATTCGAGAACTCTCTGGACTCCAGAATGTTAGCTGTTTAACACTTGATTCTTGTTTCCCCAAATTACCTGCCTCCTTACCGCCCACTTTAGAAATCAAACTCCAGGAAGTTGCCCGTCTATTCACTACTTTTATGGGAAATATTTAAAATGCATAAACACAACGCATACAGTTACTGTAAACATCAACTGAATTCACGCACATGTGAAAACTCGCATTTGATTCTTCCTTTCTAGTGTGGGGTTAACCCTCCAGTTTGGTTACTCTGATAAACTAGTTTTTTCTACCAATCTAGATATGGATTCTCTTTCACCTTTCAAGAAGTATTTTCTGAATGAGGGAAAAGAGAAAAGAAAGAAGGGGAAAATTATGTTTATACATGTATACAAGATAGCTAATATAGTTGTCCTACTAACTTCTATCACTTCATTGAAAGGAACAGTTAATGATGAATTATTTGATCAATCTTACAGGTCTGTATTTGTTTTCATGAGTAACCACTTTGAAGAAATCAATATGTAATGCAATAACCATTGTTAATTTCCTATCACCTTGTCTGAATTTCAGTATTGCTTGTATTGTTCTTGTGTTATTTTGTAAATGTATGTGTGTTTGTTAATATGTTTTCGTTCTTTTACTTTTTAAAATGAAAAAAAGTATTTTCTTATAAGTACATTTTCAGCAATCCTAAAGCTTTTGGATTTTGAAGAGTAAGTGCATGAAAATAACTGTCAAAGTGTTTTAATTTGTATTGTAGCAATTTCATTTATATGACTTTGAATTAGACACTTAACTCCATAAGGTTCTCTGATCAGGTGGATAGAATTTCCCTATTTAGCAAATATTAGTTAAGAAAGCATATGGAGTATAGTATATGCATTTATTTCTTTTTTTTGTTTTTTGTGGGTTTTTTTTGTTGTTTTTTTCCAGTACTGGGAATTGAACTCATGAACTCGCGCTTGCCAGGCAGGCGCTGTGCCACTGAGCTAATTCCCCAGCCCCTAGTATATGCATTTATTTCTAGATGAAAAATACTCTTTGAGATATGCTTCTTCATCAAAAGTGCCAGTAGTTTAGATTATAAATTCTGGTAATCTTTTAGTTTCTTTGAGTAGAAATTTTTAAACTTAACTGGATTGCATAATAATAAAAAATGCTAATATTCACTTGGAACTTCAAAGGGTTAGCATATATATGTATATTTTATTTTCTTGTTTAAATATCATGCTTTTCTTGTAATGTATCATAGGTGGATAAAGTAAGGCACAGAGAAGCAGAAATAAAATTAGAAGGAAAGATTTCACCCCAAGCAACTGGGTCTTAAATAGAAAATTATGTGTTTTCACGTTATGATTTAACATCCCTTCATATCAGCATTCTTCACTTTTTTGCACCATGAAGCCATTTGTTAGTCTTTTGAAGCCTGCAAGCTCCTCTTAGAATAATGTCTGTAAGTATCCTAAATAAAAAGGATTGTAATTGAATAAATTATATTGAAGAATTTTTTCAAAAGTTTTAAAAACAGTGGTATGGTAATACAATTGCTTCATTATTACCTATTAAAGAAAAGACTTTGTGTCATGGTTTGATAACTACTACCATTTAATCATAATAAAGATATACATAACAACATAAAAATACTTGATTTCTTTTGGTGTCAAAGTCTCAAGTACAGGATTGCTAAACCAGTGTGGTTTGCAGCCTACCTTTGTATTCTCGATTAAAGGAAATGTTAAATTTGGGATTTAGGGTAATGAAAAGAAAGATTGGCTTTTTCTCACACATGTCCATAGAGCACTGAATTCTATGTGTTCCTTTTGAGTAGATCCTGCGTCCTACTGAAAAGTAGCACTTCAGGATTTGTTTATTGCTTACAAGTAGCAGAAAACTCTTATTAACATGATGTTCCTAAATAGATGAGGATTTGAGGATTTGTCTCCTAAAATATTACTTGATAATTTTAGCTAAGCAAAATATACATGTTTAAAACATGTTTAATACATGTTTGTTCTCTACATGTGACATTTCGACGCTCCACTGTTCTTCTTAGGGTTTATTGTTGAATGTATTTAAAAATGCTGCCTCCTCGCTTGAATGTCCTTACTTCATAAGTGGAGATAAAAATTCAAACCAGCCTTCTCTAGGAACCTAGCTTCTTTTGCTTAAGCCCTTCTGTATTTTCTGAATTCTCCATCTTTATCTTGTACAACCGCTAGATGGCACTGATTGTTTGGTCTGCCAAAAATCCAGTCCCTCACTTCCCACCTAAAAATTGATTTGCAATTGGGAAAGATTATCTGGCAACTGTATCTACACGCACTAAGAGTTGACATCTCTTTCTGAAATGAATTAAAGTTTCTTTTCTTTTTCATTCTGTTTTTATTTTATCTTTTAAAGACCATTACCTCATTTTATTTTTCCTTTGATTCTCAAGGGCCTTTTTCAAGTGCATTAGAACTTCAGCATTTCAAGATGTTTCACACCAATTAGGGCCACCTTCGCTAAAACATTCTGTGCTTTTCCAGCAAGGGCAGAATCCGCGGGAAGCTAGTGCTGGCAACAAAAGCATTTTCAGAGTAGCACACGAAGTGTGTTAAACGCCTCCCCGTCAAGAGGCCTAGGTACTTGTGTTCCGTTGCTTCGGAGAAATCACATTTATGGGCTGATGCTTCAGTTGTGGGTCATAAACAGGACAAGGGCTGCACTCAATAAAAGATGGGACCAATACATTCCTCCATGATACAAGATTTGTGAGGAGTATTTTTAAAGGAGTAATAAAATGTAACTGTGTTTTAAAACTGTCTCTTGAAATAAGCACGTTCATTATATTAGCAACTGAAGTAACAAGCTCAAAAGTGCAATAAAGATATATTCCCAGTAGCAATGAAGTGCTACTGTTATCTTTCTGTTAGTATTTGTAACTTCACACACTGGGTACAGTATCCAGTGGCATTAAGTGAATCAATGACCCTACGTTTGTTGCTTCAGTTGAGAGGAAGGAATCGGAGTGGTTCTCAGGGACCGGCTGGTACCTTTGATCTCACTGCCTTCCTAGAACTCTAGCTGACAAGCCTTCCTGGAGTGTGAGCAGTGCCCTCCATTTCTATCCCAAGCCAAACTTGTATTTAAATTCAAGCTAAAATTTCATCCCAGCTTGTATCAGTTTGAAAATATTTACTCTATCTCCTAAATTTATT